TTTTCCCCAGCAAAATATCTCAAAAAGAACAAACTATTTAATAAAAAGAGAGAAATATCAACAAGTTTATGAAATAAAATGCACATGCTCAAAATATGCACATGAAGATTGAGAAATAAATATTTCTGTCATACGATCGCCAAATAGCAGCCTTGTTCACATCCTTCTTCCCCAAAATAGCGAAATAGTATCATCCGATACCACGTGATGTAGGCGGAGCCAAGTGCCAACTCCTGGTGAACGAACTATAGATCCTTCTTCAAAATTAAATATATAGGGAGTTTTGATAAAGTTAATTCCCCTTGATTAGAAACATAGCAACATAGTTTCCTTTTATTGCTCAATAATAATTACAGTTTTTAGTGCGTATTGCTTCATTTTCCTGTTTGTCCAAGAGTTCCGGTAAAGGTGAAATTAATTTGTTACCATTTTTTTCTATGCAAGAAGAATTTTTTTTATAAAATAACCACTGATATTTAAGGAGTTAAAGTAAAAGAAGAACTTTGTGAATGAACCAGGTAAATGGCGTTATCAGCGTAGCTAAAAACAGGGTAAGAAGAAAGCTAGTGGTACGTGATTTATTTTATTTTGAATTTACTAAATGACAGAGATTATCAGATTTACCAGATAATTGTTTGCCAACTACTGCCCAATTTATAATAAAAATCATGCAATCATCCTCAAAACTGACGTGGTTACGGTAAAATTTAAGTAAAACCAAAAACTATTCGACTACTTTAAGCATACCCATATTACTTCTACCACTTAATATTGTTTTACCTGATTAATATATTCTCCTGAAACTTAGTCTCCAAAACCACTAATCTATTGCCTGATACTCGTCATATGATAATAAATATAAATGGGTTGATGCCAACTCTTCCGGATTTCACATAAGAATCAATTTAATTCCAAAGCTTTTCTATTCAAAACTTAGGTTTCATTTTCTTTCTGAAATTATAAACTTATTTTTTAACCGCCAAAACTTTTTTCATTCATATATATGCATACCTGCCAACATTCACTCTCTTCGAGAATGGATTTTCCAACTGGTAGTAAAACAGTTACCGAAAAACTATCTTATATAATCGGGAATTGAAAATAGCACTGTGAAAGCTGAGGAAAAAAATCGTTTTATTGATATTTATCATTTACATTGGATTGTTAGCTATAACACTTACTTATTCAAGAATAAAATATGCAGAGATGCCAACTTGCACCGGATAGCAAATATATATTTTTAAAGTGGTAGTTTAGCAATTGTGATTCTTGGTTTAATAAATTCAATTTAGTAGATTTTTATCCACCACTATTTTGAAATAATTCGTAGTCTTATATAATTCACTACTTTGGAGAATCCGGAGCTGTTGGCATCTCTGAATATAGCATTTTTCCATGGAGCAAAAGCGCAGAATATAAAAATTGTCCACCGAATGAAAAGAAAAGACAATTTTCTAAAGTAAGAATTTTTACATTAAAAAAAAATTATTTCTTTGGAGGTTTTTTTTTTCAAAAACCCTGTACGTGAAGTGGTTAAAAACGTTTTATAAAACAGGAACTCTTATAAATGCTGCGACAGATTTCTAAGGGAGTTAGGGCACATCATTAGGATTAAATCTGCATAGGAGCCCATTCCCAAAAATATCCCCATACGTCCCTAGGGGTGCATTCCCTATAATGACCACCTCAGAAGCACACGTTTGGAGCAGTTCAAAATAGAGAAGCACCCTCAGCGGTGTATGATGACATTTCTCAGTATGGGTTCTTATACAATTTTAATTCAGATGATGTGCCCTAACTAAACTGCTGCGTCGCAAAATTTATGCAATCCCATGTCATATGCAAAGTTTTTAAACTCGTAAATTTCGTCGAAAAATGTACTAAAAATTTGATTAAAAACTGTAGCAAGGAGAGAGGAACCGATTGCATATTTGGAATCATCTTAACACGTTGATCACCTCGTCAGCCATCGGTGGCTGACACTGGACTTTCCATTTAGGCCGCGTCAACCACCGGTGGCTAACACTGAAATTACATTTATGCCGCGTCTACCACCGCTTGCAGACACTGACCTTTCACATAGACCGCGAAAAACAGCTGGCTGACAGCGTATAACATGATATAGAACTGTAAAATTTACACTCTTTTATGGAATTGCAGAAAATTTATTCAAAATTTACTTATTTATTGTGATTCTTGGTTTAATAAATTCAATTTAGCAGATTTTTATCCACCACTATTTTTAAACAATTCGTAGTCTTATATAATTCACCACTTTTTTCAGATGCGACATGCTAAACCTTATAAGACAAGCAAAATCTGTCTAATATTTGCAGTTTTAGTTAGTAGTTAATTACAGTTTGGCCAGACAGGCAAGCCATGCAAAATTACCGTGTCGTTCAGCGTGTTAAAAATATGCAACATGAGTTAAAATCCTTATGCAACAGTAAATGAAAACAAATTTGCTCCACAATGTAGTTTAAAAAGAAAATGACTAAATTAGAGGCCATTTTTTTAAAAGTGTTTTATTCATGTTTCATTCTTTGGTTCTATATTATAGTTGAGTTGTTAGTCTATAGTTAGTTTCTTTACAGTTAGTTTCCTTAGTATACAGTTAGTTGTCAGTATACAGTTAATAAGTTCAACCATAAGTTCTTCGACCATAAGCTCCTCCTCCATTTCGGTTTTGTTGTGCTCCTTGTTGAGCTCCTTGATTTCTCTGATTATTATTAAGATCTCCTTGACCATAGTTCACATTAAAGCCATCTTGGCCACTTCTCTGGGCGAAACCTCCTCCTTGATTGGCTAAAAGCAGAATCGTACAAAAACTATATTAAAATTTGAAATATTTAAGATCAAGTAATATCACCTTTATGATTCACAATTATACTCCCGCAGAGGATCAAAATCGTGATGTCATGTCTTCGGATCATCCTCAGGAATGCTTGCCTGATCGTCGTTAAAAAGCACATTGCGCAGCTCTAAGGCGATGCAATTAAACTATTACTATTCAGCTTAGCTCTTACGTAGTTCAAAAGAATATAATTTAACGTAGTTATTTCACATTTATTTGCTAAATATTTACTTTAATATTAATCCAATTATTAATCCCGCTTTTAATAACTATAAAACAAAACAAAAAAAGGTTTTGAAAAAAAGAAGCATTTACATCTTTTAAATCTACATTTGATAATTAGTACAAAACACAGAAATGTTTTTTTTTTGCATCTATTTCTAATTCCTTAACAATAAATTATTTTGGTTGGTATGGTAGATTAAAAACAGCTATATTTTTCTCGCTCTTTTTTTTTCTTTTTTTTTGCTGCCATTTAAAAAAAAATCTTGTAACAACCCTGATGCCTGGAACATATCTGCTTGTGACGCTTTCAGTCGGATTTACATGTACCGGTCCGGTAAACGTCCGGTCGAGACACTTTGGCATAAAATTATGCCTCCGGGACAGGTTTTTGTAATGCTGTATACGTTAAGTATGCCCATGGATTTAGAGAGGTCAGTTCATAAACATGGAAAAACTATTAATAGTAATAGAAATATAACTAAATATGTAATTCTTAATTTAGTAAATTTGATTTAAAGCATACCTGCCAACTTTTACGCATTTGGCGTAAAATTTCATTTTCATATTTAAAGTGGTAGTAAATATATGCTATTTTTTCTTTTATAAACTTAATTTTTAAATGATTTTGATCACCACTATTCTTAAAAAAATTAAGCACATATATTAATGTGTGTTTCTATCATGGTTGCCAGCTTAAGTTTTTTCAAATGCAGCGTATTTTTTTGCTTAAAATTGAAATTTTAAATACTTTTTAATACCACTGGGAAAAAATATAACGGAAAGGATTAAAAGTTGGCAGGTATGTTAAAGTTATAATGCGCACCACTAACAAAGGAAAAAATATAGCAATAACTACAAATGCTTACAATAGCACAAAAGTTTAATGGGAAAAGGGCCGTAATGCCTCAGACGCCCAGTTCCACTACTACGAACGAGGCACAAGAGTTAACTATAATGCGGAATTTTTCGCTAGCTACATATTTTTCTTCCTTTTGTTGGTAATTAATAATCTTTAAAATAACAAGAAGTTTAGGAAAAGAATTTTACCTTGGTTTGATGGTCTTCCTAAAAATAGATNTTAAAAAAATTAAGCACATATATTAATGTGTGTTTCTATCATGGTTGCCAGCTTAAGTTTTTCAAATATAGCGTATTTTTTTGGTTAAAACTGAAATTTTAATTCCATTTTAATACCACTGGGAAAAATGATAATGGAAAGGATTAAAAGTTGGCAGGTATGTTAAAGTTATAATGCACACCACTAATAAAGGAAAAAATATAGCAATAACTACAAATGTTTACAATAGCACAAAAGTTTAATGGGAAAAGGGCCGTAATGCCTCAGACGCCCAGTTCCACTACTACGAACGAAGCACAAGAGTTTACTATAATGCGGAATTTTTCGCCAGCTACATATTTTTTTTTCGTTTTGTTGGTGATTAATAATCTTTAAAATAACAAGAAGTTTAGGAAAAGAATTTTAGCATAAAAAGAATATTACCTTGGTTTGATGGTCTTCCTAAAAATAGATAAATTAAAGTTATATAGTGATGAGTTCATAATAAATGTAATTTAATGAATATTGTTTTTACTACTAATTGAATTTCAAAGGATTGAACATTTATAATAGAAATTACAAATTCTGTAAATCCTTAATAAAACAAACTTCTACATAATTAGTTCTTAAATAACCAATTTATATTTTATCAAGTGTTATTTTACACTTATTTATCTTATAATACATTTCATTTTATTACATTTAAAAATTATTATTAATTCTCTCATCAAGATAACAATGCTACTTACTTTTTATAAGATGGTTTTTATTAGATGTTTCAAATATTTATCAATTTAATTGGCATACATGTTACTTATATATTCAATTTAACAGCAATTTTTTTTCTTAACTTGCACCTTGATTTCAAGATTAAACTGGAGAGAGTTTACATTTTGAAATTTTTAAAACTCCCAAGAGTTTTTAAGAATTTACAAAACAAAAAGAAACAAACTTGGATCCAATATACATTTACATCCATGCCAATCCAGAAATCTAAACATCATACAATATTTAAGGTGGTTGCGAAATAGCAATTTACATTGACACTAAATTTTATTAATTTAAAGAAGAACTTTTAAATCTTAAAAAACGTTTTTTTTCCTAATGGTAGGAAATTATATTTAAATTTATATTAAAGGCGGATCAACGCTAAAACACATTTTCAGGCCTACTCAATCCGATATTTAACTACAGAGATGCCAATTGTTCCGGAGTCGACAAACTATTGCAAAAAACCGAGAGAGCTGCAAACTAAAATTTGCAGATTTTCTGTTTATTTTGCTAATTTTCTTACGGTTAATTTTGCCACGTAGTAACATTTTCAGATAAATCTTTATTCCCTTTGGGGACGGGTGATTCATAAAAGCATTCGTTCAAAATCAGAATCAGGATGTAAATGAATAAAAAACGGCAACTTAAATGTAGGCGTTGCTAATTTGACATACTTATTTTGCTTCTACTTTAATTATTGTTAGTTTAATCACTATATATAACCAATGTTAGTTATAAGTATAACTAAATAATTTTATTTTGAACTAAATGGTGAATTAAATAAATCAACTGTCGTGCCACTGGTCCTTGGTTCGATCCTCGGTTCGGACACGGTTAACTCAGCCTTTCATCCCTTCAGTGGGTCGATAAAATGAGTATAAAGCATGCTTAGGAACTAAACACTGGGGGATCGCGTTGAGCTGACCATCCTGCCGTAGCATCTGCTCTTGCGCCCCAGAGCCCATACATAGGTCAAGAAATCTGAGAGGGACACAGGAAGACTTGGCCCTCGATGAGCTGTCATGCCACTGAGTTTAGTTTAGGAATCATACATTAAAAGACTACCTCTCGCAGGTATTTATCAGCTGTCCGGAGCAAGTTGGTATATCTGCATCCGCAGTCAAAATAAATTTCAATAACATTTTTTCCAATAAGATTGAAGTGTGAACGTATAAAATTTGCTACAGCATGAAATATAAAAATAAAATCTTCTGAAAATCTAGAAGAATTGACAAGTGTGAAATTCAGAAGAAGTTAGCAAGTATACATGGGTAACCACAACTATCTGATATTTCGTCACAAAAAAAAATGTCTCTTTGAGAACTGTGCCCTATGAAATCTCTAAATATTAAAGTGGAATCTCTAAATTCCTACTAGCATTAACATAAACTTATACGACTATTAAAAACTTCAGAAAACCCGAGAAAAACCTGTTAAAGAAAGCAAGTATTTGTTAGTTGTAAAGAATATGTTGCTTTTAACTTTGAGAAAATTTAAATATTATTTAATCATAAAAATTTCGAATTTTTCTCTAAGTTATTTTTTTATAAGATAATAAAATAGTTATTAAGGTAACTCTTACTGCTTTGAGCTAATCATTAAAAACATGACAGTACTGTTTAATATGAATTAAAAACATTTAACATTTATCTGGCTTTTCACGACGGGGAAAAAATGAATTTGAGTAGTAGTAGCTAAGGTTCCTCAAAGCTACTGTAAGACTCTTAAATTTAACTTTCACTTGAGAAGAATTACAGAATTACTCCTCAGATTTGCTTGGCACCCATGTTTTTTTCTTAATTAAAATTTTAAAAGAAATTAATGGCAGCTTCAAGCATTGAAATTTATATCATTTTTGCCATCACTTTAAGAAAAAAAATCAGACTATGGGAGCCTTGTTAAGTGTAGACGACTGAAATTAATCAAACTATCATATTACTAACCTCCATTTCTGCCACGGCCACCTCTTGCTGAAAACAAAAATAAAATATTGATATACACTTTTATACGTCAACAACAAAACTTGAACACTCTCACGCCGGGAAAAGTGAAAATGCTGGTACGGGAAAAGAGAAAATACTGGTGGTAGAAGAACTATTTCAATATTAGATAATATTCGGGAGGAGTTAATCTATTCTCAACAATAACAATTCACTGTACGGAAATTTATCACGGCGAAGAAGCAATTCAATGTGAAAATTGCATCCGTTAAAGACAATTGGTAGTTATGGATTTTTATTATTCCAGGAAAAAAACTAAAAAATGAAATTTATTGTTACCAGTTTTTACTCCGATGCGCTGCCAAGATGAGACACTCTAGCGTGACCCACCGGTGGGTCACCCCGGCGTGAACGTGTTAAAGAAACTAATTTTGTAAAACTGTTGGCTAAATCTCTATAAAATATTGTTTCTGAAAAACCTACCAAATTAATTCATTGCTTCAAATGTTTGTAGCATCAAAAGTTGCCGCAATAAATATGCATTCCACCTTTTTTTTATTACAACTGATATCGTATTTTTCCTTTTTTAACATCAGTTTTAGATCCAAGGAGAGACCCCCTACATATATTATTCAATTCATCCTGTACGCACTATTATTACTACCCTATATTACCCATACAATATCACCCCATATTCATACCCTCCAACATTTGAGGTTTGTATGAAACATTTTTTAAGTGGTAGCAAACTGATGAACAAAGTATCTATCAAGAATAAAGGGCGTGGCTATTTGGTCTATCTGACCTTTTATAAATCTTTTTTAAAATTAATTATAGATGGAAGGCAAAATTATTTTAATTCAAATTTATTAAAATATTAATAAATTACCTTTCTAATGCTTAGGGAAGTGAAGGAAATGTCAAAGAGGTTGTAGGATATGATTATATACATTATTTATTATCCCTCTATATACCATTTTTTTAAAAAAATTTTAAATCAAAAAATATTATAATTTCTAAATTAAAGAATATTCCACAGCTCTCACTTCAGTAGAAATTCATAGCTAAATTCCGATTACATTACAGTGATAAACATGTTTTTTATAATTACCCATTTCTTAAAAATAAATAAGCTTCGAATGAAGGAATTATACAAATCATAAAAATTTTAAAAATTTTCAGGGTTATTTATATATTCAATTGAAAACTCTCTTCATAAAATTGCAAAAAAAATCATGGCATTTTCAAACTAATTTTAAACATTTTACAAAACACAATAAAGAAAATGTATTTACTTTTTTTTTCTATTTTTTCTCGTAAAAAGAAACAATAAAATATTAAACATTGTATTACTATAAAATGAGCTATGGAAGGTTATTGCAAAAATTATATAAATAAAATAAATAGTAACTAACTAAATACATAAAATAACTAAACTAACTACATAACTAAATTATTAAAATATAAGGAGAGAAATTCAGAAGAAAAAAAATTATAATGATAGCTTAAAAATTCTATTACAAACATTTAAAAGTGAACTTAACTTTATAATTATGCTTAAAACACAGTAAAACCATATTTATTTTGAAAAATAAAAGTTAAGTTAGTGCTCTAGTTGTGACATTTCAAGATGTAATAGGTAATAGATAAGGTACATTGATACGAAAAGTATCTTACCAGGTCCATTATAACCATTGTACTGTGCTGTAAAAAGAAAAGCAATCATTCATTTATACTTTTTAAATCAAAAAATAAATTTTTAGTTAACTTAAACATATTCAATAAAGGAAAACACAGCAATATTGAACTGAAAATGTATGAAAACTCATTTCATACATTTTTGAAATAATTCTTAAAAAATGAACAATTAGCAGAGTTAAGTCGCAATCAGGCGATAAATTTCCTTAGACAAAAATTTAATGAAAGAAATTAGCTAATTATTTTCCGTTAATGGTTCATTTAATTTTTAAGGACTATTTAGTTTTGCAAAATAAGCTAATGCTATATTTAACTTCCCTAAGAACAAACTGAGATGGTGAAAATTAAGCTAATTGATGTTTCTTGTTACATGAATTAAAAGTTCAAATTTATTTTTAAATTGAATAATAATAATAATTGAATATTAAATACGTTAATCTCTGGATTGTTTACTTTTAACGCCATATTTTTTCTTTAAGAAATATCGTTGGTGAAATGAAATTTACTTTTTAAAAGATTCGAAGTATAAAGTATTCAAGACATGAAATTTTGTTTTGAAATGTTGTTGTTTGCTGTGAAATATTTTATGAAATGCAGATTAATTAAATTGGGTCCAATTTTCTGTGTAATACTGTATAATGTTGATGTTTTTTGCGCATAAAAGTAATTTTTAATTATTTTGCAAATATTTACTTTAGTAAATAAAATATCTTTAGTTTTTGGAAAAATTACCAAATGAACTGAATTTTTTTTACATAAAATAAATAATACGGCTTTTAATGTATCTAAATAAATATCTGATGTATCTTCTTAAGATTTACATTTTTTGTAGTTGTCAATACGTAATATTAATTCAATTATCTTAATTTTTGCTCAAAACATTGCATTGTTTTGCTGAAACATTTTATGCTATTGCAAGCAAATATATTTTTTATTTATTATTGTGAAACTTAACGCTATTGATGCAAAATCTGCCTACTTTCTACATTTTTTGGAAAGTTCTTCTTGTAGTAGCTAAGTTTATGTTTTGTATTATTTTTTATTAAATAGTATGTATTATTTTTTATTTATTTAATATTTTGTATTGTTTTTTATTTGGTAAATTTGTTTATTTTCCATGATATTACGAGTAAATGAAATCAAAAATTCATATGAAACGCCTCTTTATCCCAGGTCACTTGTGGTGGCGCTTTTGTAATGTTGGCAAAACTACCAAATATTCTGAAAACGTTAGTTGCTAATTACTCTTTAAAATATTTTACAAAAAGCGTACTAGTTGATGCGCAAATTAGATTTCATTTTTATGTGTTATTTTAAGTGTTCAATGAACGATTGATTAAGATAAGTGAAGGAGAACTATTAAATAAAATTTAGCATACTAAAAAACTGCATTGAAGCACTTTAAAAATAGACATTAATAATCGTTGGCAGAAATAAAAGTACTATATTTGAAACAGAAAAAATGGAATTATAAATTTCTGAATGCACTGAATATGAAACGAATCGTAAAAAGCTAGCGGAAAACAAATTGTAGGCATTAAAAGTAGTTTGATTAAGATTTGCTAACTTATTTTATATGAGTGAAAGTATTGAATATTTTTAATAATAACATATGTTTAGAAAGTTCAACTCAATATTTTTTTCAAAGGCTTATATCTTTACTAATTCTCTTTCAAATTAATCATTAAGTAAAAAATAAACTTCTTCAGACTTCGTATATTAAATTTGGATTTTTAATAGTTAAATTCTATCTTACCCTCTGAGAATGCAGTGATAACAGCAATAACTAAAACCATGAGAAGAAATTTCATGCTGGCCTTCATTTTATCACGGGACTCAAAGGTTACTCCTAGCAGCTAGTTTGAAGTTTGAAGAGGTAAAATGAATTGTAAATGTTGATTGCAGCTCCAGGACTTATATACTGTTTTGCTTTCACATAAAGAAGCTATACATCTTTGCAAAGCTAAATTTATTCTTATATTGCTTAATTTGAGTGTATTTGAATTAAAAACAGATGTTTATGAAACCAATCAAATCTCATTTACTTAATACAATCTGCAACAGAATTTAAATCATAAAGTTGAGATTTTGAAATTTCCAGTCGTAAATAATGCTAAAGATAGTACTATAATGAGAAATATTGCAAAATATACTTTAAACTTCCTTTCAAAGAGAAGCTATAGCAGTAAATTTCTGAAATAGATATAAAATGCACCTGTAATTATCTAGATAGAAAAGATTTAATTTCAAAATGCTCCATTGAGAATGTCTAATAAAACATTTCAACATTATACTTTGAACAATTATCAAGTTATTCATTCAGAAATGTTTATGATTTAAAAACTTTCTTGAAATACATAAAAGTAAGTTTAGAATAATCATTGGCTTTTTCATCAAAAATAGTTCAGGCATATTTTACATATGAGAAAAATCACGTTCTTTTTTTGTACAAATAGAAAAAAAAACCGAGTAATATTGACATGTCTACACAAGGCCCTTGTAGCCAATTGTACTTTTATAGTCCTTAACTATTAATTAAAAACAGTCGTATCGAAATGACTATATGCCTATTTTTAAAAACGTTTATAGAAAGCGACAGCCTAGCACTAGTTTATCCTAGCATTAACTTGAATATATTCTCTCTATTAAATTTTTCTTACAACCTTTGAGAATCTAAATAATATTGACATGTCTATAATATACCCTTGTAGTCATTTGTTCTTTTAAGCTCATTAGCTGTTAGCTTCAGAAAAGCATATCGAAATGACTATAAAAAAATAAGTTATAAGCATATTCATTCTTAATCAAATATCTTCTATTTTTAAAATTCTTGAAGAAATCGACAGATCTCAAACATTAAAGTTGTATCTTAAAAAAGGGAAATTGTTCCTAGCATTAATTTGAATATATTCTCGCTATTAGATTTTTCTTATAACCTTGGGAACCCAAATAATATTGACATGTCTATACTATACCATTGTAGTCATTTGCACTTTTAAGCTTATTAGCTGTTAATTAAAGAAAAGCATACAGATGTGTCTATAAAAATATATTATAAGCATATTCAATCATAATCTAATACCTTCTATATTTAAAAACGTTGATAAATATATATTAAATTCTCAATGTAAGTTCAAATTAAATTAATTTTCTTCCATGAAAGCCTCGTTTTTCTTTATTTTCTACTTAACCATTTTTGGTATGTATCTACTTATGACAGTATGACAAAGTTCTACCAATCTGCCAAAATTCACAGAAAACGATAAATAACAGAAATGTTCCATCTGTCAACACTGGCCTCATGTTCACAGTAGCCCCCAGTCCCTAACTTTGAAAATATCTGGTGATTTATACAAAGGAAATGAGAAGACAATTTTTAATGCAACGCTCAACTTTAATGTTTATTATGATAACTAGGTAATAAAAATTATCTGATAATAAAAGATTCCACCCCTCAAAAAATCCATTTCAATACTTAAAATTGCATGAATAATTTTTAGTGCAGAGCAGCCAACCCCATAGTTTGAGCTGTTCACAATATTGATAGTTGTAGTGAAATCACATATGCGAGTAAGCATATGTTTTTTTAAAAAATATCGCCTAGATAACACTAAAATAAATCACAGCTTATTTTTAGATCGTTTATAAAAATAATAGAGTTAATTAATAGTCGATGAAGGCTATACATCGTTTTCATTTGAATGCTAAATAATAAAATTTTCTCTAGCTTTAAAATTCCAACTAAAGACCGAGGAAATTATTCGTGCTTTCTTATGCTTATAAGCAAAATACTGTTTGGAATTAATATAATTGATATTTATGCTGCTTATAGTCTTATTTCATCAGTTAGCTTTATAGCATAAGCCATTTTCTATAACATAAAATATTTCATAAAATTTCAAGAAGAATTTCGCTTAGAAAACTATTTTTTTGTTAGCTCGTTAGTCGTCAGTGTCTCCATGTACATTTCATCAAAAAGATAAGCTTATAACTCATGTGGTAATTTTAAGTAATCGCTTATAAGCGCCCTAAGTCAGCGTTCCCATGGGCCTTGAAAATTTAAAGAAGTGGTAACGAAAATAAAACAAATGCCGAATTTTAATTTCTGGGTAACCACCACTTAACATTGTTTTCACCACTAAAAAAGTATATATGAATGATAATTACAGCTTGCTAAGCCACTTAAAAATTAAACTGGTATAGTGAAATACGATATATATTCTAGAATTAACCTAAATTTACTACCACTACTAATATGTTTCAGGGACCGCGGGAGCCCTGTAAGTCCTTTTAGCAACCACTATTTTTTAAACAACAAAGCGCCCAAGCATTTGTCTGTTAGAATTCGTGATGTTCGATCGCAATTGTTAATGTATGACTTCCTAAAATTATCATTAAAAATTTGGTAAGGGTTAAAAAGTAGTTTTGACACTCTAATTGTCGTCACCTTTGCTTGATATATTTTTCTTAATTTGTATCACACATCATTAACATACAAAGTGTCTCAACTAAAGAAAGCCTATTTTGCCATAATTGCATGCGAAGAAAACCATCGAAAACCAAACTTACATACTTAGAAAGTCTATTTCTAAGCTCATATTCACAAGGCTTAATTCACTTCCTTCTCCATCTGGGCAGGAAAAATATATCGATTGAGTAAAGAATTAGGGAAAAAAGTGTCCTAACAAAATAAAGCCACATTTAATTATAGCTAATACATAAGTCATTTTTATAAATGACTTAAAATATATGATGATGCGTACTGTTTACTAAATCCTAGAAGACGTTAGCAACAATATTATCCCAGGTTTAAATAAAACCAGCCTTCCATTCAACCAGAACAACAAACAGAAACTGCTACTCTTTTTAGATACAGTCCTCCTGAAGATAATCATCATCGTGTAAAAAGCAATGCATTAATGACATACACACTATAATCCAAAACACCAACACTATAAAGTTTCTCCAATGTAAATGGCGGCATTATCCTGCTCGAAAATCAAGCTTGGTTCGCTAATTTTCTCCGCAACGAGCAATAAATGGACTTATAGTATCTTTTGATTATCGACACTTTCACTTAGCCTGAGGAAGAGACTAGGTTATGTTTGCTACCATATATGAAGCCTTCTTACGCAATGATTGAGCTTTCACCTTTCTGTATAATGGAGACGAAATCATCATCTTTTCTTATGCCACTGTAGTAGCACAGAAAACTGTCAGGGCCCTTTTATTTATTTTTTTCCACTATCTTTTGCTTGTGGATAGCTTTCATCCTGGGATGCTGATTAATTATTTTATATCGTAAATTATTTGTAGGATATGCGAAACAAAACAGTAGATCAAAACAAATGAGAAAAACTTCTCCAAATGGGCAGCAATGTGGAGGTTCATAAAGGGTTTGAAAAGGCTTCAGCTGTGGTAGTAAACTGAATGTGGTCTTTTCTTCAAGTCGCTTGAAGGCAACTGATCAACCCCCCAAATAATGCTAGAATCTGATTTACTGGCATTTAAAGCTAGAGTCGTTGACCCATGTTGGATTTTTCCAGATGGAAAATGCCTTCACTTACGCTGCAAAATCCGTAAAGTAGTAGTTTTGGGGGAAATAGGGTGCCTGCATGAATGCCCTGCTCTTCTTCATGATCTCAATCTCCAAGAAAACATGAACGGCTATCCTTAAATATACAAAAAAGAAGCAATCTCAGTCCATGGTAGAATTGAAGACTGCCATCAATGCCACAAAATTGATGCTATTATTCTCCTAGGATTGGTAAACGGTATTCAACATCACACATTTTAAATCGGGTAAAAAATGTGGTGGATATTCTGGCTAGAAAAAGAAGTGACTTTATTTCAATGTGGCATTTTTTTTCCTCCTTGTTTACTTCATAATTTTCCTTTCTTCCTGTTCAGGTGAGACAGAGGGTAAAAAAATTCTTGTCAATATGTGTTTAGATATATATTTTCGTAATATATATTTTTGGTATCTATTGGTTTTCTTATCATCTAGTTATGGGAAAAAATCCAAGTGGTTTTATCATGTTATGGGACAAACTGTAGATGCCGCATCTCCTGATTTTTGCAGAAGAGTTTCAAGTGATAACAAATTGTATGCGTTAATATTCTCATCTTTAGCAAACCAAACTTGATTTATAATTGATTTCACCACAAATGCATACAAATAATTTAAATAAGGAAAGTTCAAGCAGTATTCTATAAAAAAAATCATTTGCTTTGTAAGGCCATGACCATTTTTACGAAAAAATTTTATTAAACATATTTTTCATACTTTAATCACCATTTTTTATAATTTAGATCAAAATAAGTGAAAAATATTATATTTAGCATTTTTGAAACGCTGATGTCTTTTTCTCAGTTAAAGGTAAAATTTTCTAAGCACGTCTCAATTCCAAACAATAAATTTTTAAATTTGCACTTACTTATATCTAAGAGAAACAGTTATTCATCATTGAAAATTCTTTAATTTGCAAAACAAATCATTAATAAATTTTTGAATATGAATGAAAATAATTATTTTCGAACGCCTTTTTTTATATTTTATAAATCAGTACAAAGATAATTCCGATAATTTAACAGAATTGTCTGGTAACTAGTAGACTGTTTTTTTGAAATTGAAAAATACCAAAATATACTTTTGATTTTAACTAGAGATTCAGCAAAAAATACATAAAAAGGATACCACTGTCCCATCTGAATCAAAGTGTCAACATGACGTCTATATGTCAAAAACGTCATTTAGAAAAAAAGTGGTGGTTTATATTTGTTTATAGGAAGTAGATATTTCCTTCTGTAACCTACCGTGTTATCTTTACAGAAGCGATGTGACATGGCTCACACTAAATATAAATATTTATTTTATTAATATATATTCTTAAGGAGAACTATCTTGTTTCTTCAAAATAAATCCTAATAGTTAATCACAAGTGTATCCACTTTTTTTTCTTTCAAAAAGGGAATTGTCTATTTAAGTGGACGCTAGAAGAATATTTTAATATATTGTTAACCTCCTTATAATTGTTAACTGTTCGAGACGGGCGGGAATCGTATATGTATTCTCAGGGAGTCGATAATCAGGTTAAAAAAGACAAAAGTGGTAGCCAAACTATTTATATAGCATTTCATGCGTGGGCGGAGTAATAATAGTTTGCTTTATTTAATTCACCACTTCTTAGCTCGAATTAAAAATTTTATAGTTACACTTTTAAAACGCTAGGATTGGATGTGTAAGATTTAAAGTGAACGCAAAAATAAATCTGTCAAATTAGCTATAGCGATTACCTACCACTTTTTATTTTTTACTATTCTGATTCCGATTCCGTACTAATACATTTATGACTCGCCTGTCCCGAAAAGGTTTAGGTATCTAAGTAAAGCGAAAAACATCATTTTACGCGAAACAAAATTGAGTTTATTATAAATTTAGAATTCATGTACTCTTAGCTTTCTCAAAGCACTTTACTTCTGTTTGTATTTCAATTACCTGCAAAGTTATAGTTGTTTTTGTACAAGGAGATAACAGTTGATAGACTAATGATTTTAACCCGACTTTTTTCTGCCTTTTCATTATTGACTTTTGTCTCACGCAAAAATATGCATTAGAACTTTTAAAATATTACTAAAATATTTTATATTCCATATTTTACTTTAACCCGTTTTGTCCCGACTTTATATATTGAAATGATACAAGAAGTGGTTTTATGGAAAAGGTGGTATAACATATTATCGAAATTGATTGGTTTTTCTACTGATAGGGCATTCAAAAAGTCTTTGATAGATCAAAAAGTACTAGCTCCTTTTAATTCTAAATCTAGTCAGAAATAACTAAATCATTGTGGTATCTGAGAATCTTTTAATTCACCCAGATAAATGAAATTTCTGAAAAAAGTTTCCCACCACAATGAATGTGTTTGAAAAAAGGAACTGCCCTATATATATGACGCTGGGCGTTAACCGGTTAAGTCTATGCGTCTATCTCAAAATCAGAATTTTCCCTATTTTACATAACCTTAAACGCTATATCTCATGTTGTAATTAACACGTTCACGCCGAAGAAAGTGAAAATACTGGTACGGGAAAAGAGAAAATACTGGTTGAAGAGCTATTTCAATATTAGATAATATTCGGGAGGAGTTAATCTATTCTCAACAATAACAATTCACTGTAAGGAAATTTATCACGGTTCTTTCGTTCGTTGTTTTAAAACTGGGCATCTAAGGCCTAAATGGAAATTTATCACGGCGAACAAGCAATTCAATATAAAAAATGTATCCGTTAAAGCCAATTGGTAGTTATGGATTTTTATTATTCCCGGAAAAAAACTAAAAAATGAAATTTATTGTTACCAGTTTTTACTCCGGTGCGCTGCCAAGATGAGACCCACCGGTGGGTCACCCCGACGTGAACGTGTTAAAATAATTGCCTACAATTTTTCAGGAGTGTTCATGATTATGGCACACATGTTTCGAGCTACAAACTAGGAGAAAACTGCGTAATATCATTTTGTATACATGTTTTTTCGTAATGATAAGTGCGGAATTTTTTAAAAAATTTGCTTTTTCTACTACATTGATTACTGACTCAATAGTATATGCACTTGGTTTTAAGATAATAGTTCAAAACATGGTTGATAGGCCTCTCAAAAAATCCTCAAAGTATTTTTTGGTTTAGGCAATAGAATTTTTTTTACAGTGTTTCGCGTATATATAAAAAAATGCCTTATTTTTACCTAAAATGACCGTTTAAAAAATAATAATAATCATAAATTTTTTGCTAGTTTTATAAGTTTTCAAAATTTTACTTTAATATTTAAAAAAAATTTGTCTAAACACAGAGATGCCAACTTGCTCCTGACAGATAATATATATTTTAAAGTGGGGTAGTTTATCAATTGTGATTCTTGGTTTAATAAATTCAATTTAGTAGATTTTTATCCACCACTATTTCTAAATAATTCGTAGGCTTATATAATTCACCGCTTTATAGTACTTTTGTCATTCTATACCGTTTAAAAAAGCAAGCAAAAGTAGTCAAATATTTTCAAAATTTACTTTGTAGTTATCTACCGTTTTATTAATTATTTTGGCTTGTCCGGAGCAGTTGGCATCTCTGTAAACATGGTGGATACTCTCTCTCAATTGTTATTTAGCATTGTGATAAATCTTAGCAACGGCAAAAACGTATTAAATATTAAAAATTTTCTATAATGTTATTATTTTTAGTATTCATTCTTTCTTTACGGAAAAATATTGTCTTAACCCCTTGGGGACGGGTGATTCAGAAAAGCATTCGTACAAAATCAGGAGCAGGACGTAATTAAATAAAAAACGGTAACTTAAATGCATTCTTTCCTAATTTGACAGACTTACTTTGCTTTTACTTTAATTATTGTTAGTTTAATCATATATATATAATCAGTCTCATCTCATATGTGTTGGTTATCTTAGCGTCAGCCCCGCTAGGGGCATATATAAACAATGTTAATTCAAAGTATAACTAAATAGTTTTATTTTGAACAAAGTAATGGTGAATTAAATAAATCAAACAATTATAACTCCGCCCACAAAAAAACTGCTAAAGAAATATTTTGATTACCAGTTTTATCTTCTTACCTTGATTGATACGGTTTTATGCTGTCACGTATTTGTGACAGTCGGCGCGAAAGGGTTAAACCCAACACGACGTCAATATGTCAAAAACGTCGTTTTGAAAAAAAAGTGGTAGTATATATTTGTTAATAGGAAGTGGATATTTTTTTCTGCAACCTACCGTTTTATCTTCAAAAAAGCAATGTGACATGATTCACACTAAATATAAATATTTATTTTATTAATATGTACTCATATGGAGAACTGTCTTGTTTCTTCAAAATAAATCCTAATTGTTAATCACAAGTGTAACCACTTTTTTTTCTTTATAAAAGGGAATTGCCTATTTAATCCGACGCTAGGCAAAAATAGGTTAATATATTGTTACATTGTTAACCTCCATATAATTGTTAACCTCTTCGAGACGGGCAGGAGTCATGTATGAATTCTCAGAGAGTCGATAATCAGGGTAAGAAAGATAAAACTGCTAGCCAAACTATTTATATAGCAGTTTATGTGTGGGTGGGGTAGTATTAGTTTGCTTTATTTAATTCACCACTACTTTGTTCGACACAAGGATTGGATGTGTAAGATTCAAAGTTAAAGCAAAAATAAATCTACCAAATTAGCTATGACCGAACTTACGTAACCGATTTTTAATTTTTACTATCCTGATTCTGATTCTGTACTAATACATTTATGACTCCCCCGTCCCGAAAAGGTTAAAGTATTAAATTTATTTGTTACCAGTTTTTACTTCGGTGCGCCGCCCGATGAGACAATCTAGCGTGAACGTGTTAAGCAAACGTTTTAAAATTGAGTTTACTATAAATTTAGAATTCATGTACTCTTTGCTTTCTAAAAATACATTCTACTTCTGTTTGTATTTCAAATACCTACAAAAGTATAGTTGTTTTTGTGCAAGGTGATAACAGTTGATAGACTAATGATTTTAAATCATACGTCTGTCTCAAAATCAGATTTTTCCCTATTTTACATTACCTTAAACGCTATATCTCATGTTGTTATTAAAATAATTGCCTACAATTTTTCAGGAGTGTTTATGATTATGGCGCACTTGTTTTAAGTCACAAACTAAGAAAAAATAGTGTAATTTCATTTTGTATGCGCATGTTTTTTCGTAATGATAAGTGCGGAATTTTTTTAAAAATTTGCTTTTTCTTCTACTTGATTCCTGACTCAATAGTATATGTACTTGCTTTTAACACTTTACCGACCGGTAGCGGTTCGAACATACTATGCCCTTTCACCGCCCGTTCAGCTGCAGATCGTCCGAGACACCGGCTCGGTTTCGGCCTAGACTGACGCGCGGACTTCACCACTAAATATCAAAAATTACAAATATGATATAAAATGCAACGTTAAATCATCAATATAGTGATTACTGTATTAAAAAGTAGGCGTAACTATCTTTCTTTAACTAATCTTACAAAATATTTTGCTACCACTTTATTAGAACTTTTCCAGAAAGCGGAGCAGTTGGCATCCCTGCCTTCATATCGATGAAAAAATCCCGACTTTCCTCGCAGGAAAATCTAGTCGCACCCAGCTGCACGATGAAAAATCCCGACTCTTTTCGCAGGAAAATCTGGTCGCACCCAGCTGCACTCGAGAAAACGACAGCTGAATTTTTTTCAGGGCATGCTGAATTGGTGGAAAACGTAGTCACCACAGATCGGTCAAAAGTCGATTAATCGACGACCGGTCGGTAAGCGCTGGGGAGCAAACGTCGAATAATCGACGGCCGGTCGGTATACGATGAGAACAAAACGTCGATTAATCGACGACCGGTCGGTAAGCGCTGAGAACAAAACGTCGATTAATCGACGGCCGGTCGGTAAAGTGTTAAGATAATAGCTCAAAACATGGTTGATAGGCCTCTCCAAAAAATCCTCAAAGTATTTTTTGTTTTAGGCAATAGAAATGTTTTTACAGCGTTTCGCGTATGTGTAAAAAAATGACTTATTTTTTCCTAAAAATGACAGTTTCAAAATAGCAATAATTATAATTTTCTGCTAGTTTTATAAGTTTTTAAAATTTTACTATAATATTTAAAACAAAGTTGCCGAAACTTGGCGGATGCCTTCACTCAATTTTTATATAGCATTGTTATGAATCTTAGCAACGGCAGATACGCATTAAATATAAAAAAATTTCTATTTTACATAATGTTATTATTTTCAGTATTCATTCATTATTTACTGATAAATAATGTCTTATGAGATTCCATGTTTTGAATAGTAAATCAATAAACAAATACAATTTCTACAAGCTGTTTTATTTATGTACGATGACATCAGATGCTCAGACATATTTTTTTTAATTTGTTGACGCATGGTTATACCCAGTATCTATAGCTATTGATATCCTCCATTTCGGTTTCGTTGATTACCTTGCTGAGATCCTTGATTTTGCTGATTGTTGTTAAGATCTCCTCGGCCATAGTTTGAGTTGTAAGCACGTTGATTGTTACTTTGAGAAAGACCCCCTCCTTGGTTTGCTGTAAAATCAAAAAATTTTAATATTTCTTCATTTGAAACTTTTCTTTTTATCATATTATTTCTAATTATTACTCTTTATTTAAGCTAAGCTAAAATGATATTCATTTAATCAAGCATTTTATTCCTTTGCTAAGCAAAACTTTGACCTTACAAGCATAAATTTAATTTGTTTGAAATGAAAAACTTAAACTTCGTTTTTTATAGTGCCCCTCCCCCATTATAAGTATTCGAAATCCTTAAAATTTATTACCCATTAGATTGGGACAAAACATGCTTAATTTTTATTAAATTTGAAATTAATATGAAATATAGTATTAAAGTAGTAAAATAAAATACCAAACTTCCAACACCATAGCTTTAAAAAAGTATGAAAGCGTAGCTTATTGCTTACTTGTTTGAAATCATGTATCGCGATCTCATTCAATAAAACGTTTATACATCATGTGAGTAATTAAAATTATTTTCGAATTATATAAAATGGCAAAAAAATAACTCATAACTGCCATGCTTTTATTACCCTATTCATTGCTTTGTTATTTTATTACTTAATTGTTTTTCTAACGGCAGACACTGAACTTCTCGCCTTTATATATGGAACTGTTGCTCATTTAACTTTCCCCGATGAGCACCTGCGAACCTAAGTCACAGAGGCGACCAATATTACGCATGCCACACTGCCACAGAAAACTGTTAAAACTATGCGGTCCGCATATATTTAGTGATAAGTTTACTATGTAACCCGTTCCGTGTAACTTGCTCAGCTTTGTAAAATTGTATTTTCTAGTGGTAGCGAAATGTAAGTTACTTTTTGTTTGCTATTTTTCATTGTAAGTAACTTTTTCACCACTAAATATCAAAAATTATAAGTATGATATAAAATGCAGCGTTAAAGCACCAAACTATTGGTTACAATATTAAAAAGTAGGCGTAACTATCTTTCTTTAAAGAATTTTACTATATAATTTGCTACCACTTCATTAAAACTATTCCAAAAGGCGGAGCAGTTGGCATCCCTGTACTCTATTGTACCTTGACAAAATGTCACATGAATATCAGGTTGCAACGCGCGACATCTATGTGTTGTCACCGGCCACTAACGTTTGGCTTGGACGTGGCACCAACGTGTTGTCACCGGTTGTTAGTGTATGGCGTGCGTATGGCACCAGCGTGTTGTCACCAGCAGCTAACGTTTGGTTTTCACGTGACAACACGTTAGTGTCACCGGACATGAAAGTGTTAAGAGGACAAGCCACATCACACAATAGAAGACAACACAGAGCGAGAGACATCCAAGACCTAAACCAAAGCCTCCCATAACTGAAAGCCTCCACACGGTTTCTTATAGGTAGTCCGATCAGACCACTATGAAGATAAACCAGTTTACGAAAGAGCCATTTAATAGAAAATATAGTAGAAATAAGAAAGTGGTGGCAAATATATGTTTAAAAACTTGTTTAATTTATGAATATAATTCATTTGTCTTATTAACTTGTCAATCACTACAGATTCAATTCTCAAATATATATGATAAATTTCTCTTGATTACTATTAAAAGAGAAATTGGATTCATGCTCACAACTGGCTCACTTTTTAAATAGTATGCGCATACTACTTCTAAAAAACCGTGTGGAGGCTTTCTGATGCAGGAGGTGATGCCTAGACGCCCTGAAAACTAGCAACCACTGGCTTTGCAGACAGACGCGCTGATCGCACGAACACCTGACCGGCTCTTACTTATTCTAAAAGAGTTAAAAAGTGATAACATAAATTCTAAAAACATTGATCACATCCTGATTGCAGTTAAATGTATTTGTCGGTTTAATAGTTTTTCTTAAACTCAATATCAAGCTGCTGAAAGGCTGGAAAAAACTAAAATTTATCAAAAAAATGCATGAAAGAAATGTATAATTAAACAAACATACCTTGATTTACAGGTCTTCCTAAAAAGGATATCAAAAATAGTTAAAAATACAAAACTATGATTTATTCTAAATTCATCAAAATTTATTTACTTATTTTTTAAAAAAAATAGCATTGCTGTAGGAGAGATAAAGCTAATGTGGATATGGGGCTAGTGTAGACAAATGGAATATTTCTATTATTTATCAATCGAAACTTGTTAAATATTTTATCAGATTGGCCAAACTGTGTCACAATAAAAATTATAAATATAAATTAGCAAATTTAAGGACATATTTTTATAATCAAAAAGTAAATTCTTAAGTTTCTTTTTACTTGCCATTTAAATTTATCATTTTTAAAAATAGAAGTTATGTTGCTATGAATAAATAAGTTTATTGCATATTTTAAAAGCCATTTACTCATTTCACGTTTTTTTCTCAAACCTATACGAATCGTTTGTAGTATTACGCTTTGTTTAAAGATTGAACGACTCTTAACCGTTTTAAACAATCAGCAAAATTGCTCAAAAGAGAGAAGATTAAATGTTATACCACTTAAGAATACCAGAACACAATTTTAAAATGAGTATAGACCATGACAGATTTTTAGGAAAAATGGATTTAAATTTTTTTTTTCAGATACATATACCATAAAAATTTTCATTTTGACTTTCTGAAATATTGACATATTTTGCGACAGGTGATAATTTAAACATGAGGTCTAATTTTTTCTATCATTTATTAATATGTTATCAAAATACAAACCTCCGTAACCGCCACGACCACGGTAACCTCTTGCTGTAAAATAAAAATCAAGCTTTTAGTAAACAGCTTTGTATAAAAGAGATTTTCTAATGTTATTTGTATGACACATTTAATGAATAATGCTTAAAAATATTTCTTTATTGTTCTGTTACATTTATCTGGTAATGTCTTCAGTTCCTTTTTGTGAATAGTTGTATTTAAAAAATTTAAAAGTTTAGTAGACGTTTATGGTTAGTGCTTTTCTTGAAGAGTTAAAATATTTGTGTTTCCTTACATAATTCTAATTTCTCTCTTTCTTTTCTTTTCTTTCTGTCAGAAGTTTTTAAGATATGCTATTTAAACATTTATTTTAAAGATAAATTTGTCATAACTTTTCTTCATAAGTATTACCTATCACTGCAATATGTAAATTTAGTTGTTCATAGATTAACGTATTAATTCTTTTTAACAGAAAACAATACCTGCATAAATATTTTACAATCAACTTGTGTTTTATTTCTATTTGAGAAGAACATTTTGACAAAATTCTTTTTCGAATATTTTTTCATTAAGAAACTAAGAATTTCGCAGTAATAGTTTTTTCTTCAAAAAATTTAAAATTTGAAATTCTAATACTTTGGATTTATGGATATGTGTCAGGGAGATAATAAAAATGGAATGGAAAATTTCTTTTTCTTATTTATTTATTTATTTATTTTTGAAAGAAACTGAGACTTTCTCAGCAATAGTTTTCCATTTAGAAAACTTGAAATTCGAAATCCTAATACTTTGGATCTATGGATGTGTCGACAGGAGTTGATAAAAACGGAGATTTGCATAAATCTTTAAACAAGATGATCACTTTCGCAAGATTTTAAAATAACAAAACTGTGTAGTGATTTTCGAAAGAAAATAAGCAATTTGATCAAATCTTTTAGCGGTTTTGGTAAAAAGATGGAATAATATAGTTTAGATCGTATGGTCAAAGTAATGAATTCTTTAATATTAATAATACCCGGTTATTATTAAAAATAACCAATAAAGTTAAAGTATGTAAGAATGTATGCCAAGCAATGGAACTTAACCTTAAAAAAAATTTCAATGTAGGGTACACCTAACAAATATGCACCGAGTAATGGGAATTAGTCTTAAAAAGACTTCAGTGTAGGGCAAACCAGACAATGTCATTTTCCTTGACTAATCAGATTATTAAAAACAATGAAGTGTGTTTATTATCAATAGCCACGTTCCCTTCACAAATATTTTTATTAATCGGAGGGGTAAGAATAAGAAGAGTAAGATTAAGCGAAACATAAAGTGGTAGCAAATATATGACTGAAAGTTTGTTTTATTTATGAATATTATTGGTTTGCCTTATTCACTTGCCAACCACTACAGATTCAATTCTCAAATATATATGATGAATTCTTCTCAATTACTTTTACAACAAAGCAAATAAAACGATAACATACCTGCCAACTTTTAATCCTTTCGAGGATGATTTTCCCCACTGGTAGTAAAATGGAATTTAAATTACAATTTTAGGCAGAAACAAACGCAATATTTTAAACTAGCTGATGCGGACTGTCAGAACAGTATTACATATTAATATATATGATTAATGTTTTTAAATATAGTGGTGGATCAAAAAGATTTTAAATTAAGTTTATAAATGCAAGGAAGCATACATTTTACTACCACTTTAAATACAGAAATAAAATTTTACGCCAAATGCGTAAAAGTTGGCACATATGCGATAAACATGCCTCTAAACAGTGGTAATGGAAAAATTTATGCAGACAAAGACAAGACAGAAATATTTGCAAACTCAATCGAAGATCAATTTTCTCCAAATAAAGAACCAAATGATAAATCCTCAGATCAACAAATTATATCTACCTATAATACCTACTTCAGTAAAAATAAAATTAATAACTCAATGAGTTATACGGATAATGACGAAATCAAAAACATCATTAAAAAACTAAATAAGAAGAAAGCCCCCGGCTACGATAACATCACCAATATCATGATTAAAAATTTACCCCCCTTAAGACTGAACCAACTCACTAACATAATCAACGCAAGCATCAAACAGTGTTATTTTCCAAATCACTGGAAGCATGCTACTATCATCTTATTCCCAAAACCAGGGAAAAATCATTTAAACGCAGAAAATTACAGACCGATTAGTCTTTTATCTTCACTATCTAAAATCATGGAAAGAATTTTATTAAATCGAATTTACCCACTATTAAGCTTTCTCCCGAACGAACAATTCGGTTTTCGGAAAAACCTCTCCACAACTAAACAGTTGATTCGAATACTTGAATTTATTAGTGAAGGATTCTTCAAAAAACAAGCCACTGCCTTACTCATGTTGGACATCGCTAAAGCGTTCGACAGAGTATGGCATACTGGTCTTATATATAAAATGATACAGCAAAATATTCCTGATGATCTTGTTCATATTATTAATAATTATTTAATCAATAGAACATTTCAAANTTATAGTTATTATAGACAATGTCATTTTCCTTGACTAATCAGATTATTAAAAACAATGAAGTGTGTTTATTATCAATAGCCACCTTCCCTTCACAAATATTTTTATTAATCGGAGGGGTAAGAATAAGAAGAGTAAGATTAAGCGAAACATAAAGTGGCAGCAAATATATGACTGAAAATTTGTTTTATTTATGAATACTATTGGTTTGCCTCATTCACTTGTCAACCACTACAGATTCAATTCTCAAATATATATGATGAATTCTTCTCAATTACTTTTATAAAAGATTTTGGGTTCATGCGCACAACTGGTTCACTTTATAACTGGTCTGCGCGGACTACTTACAAAAGACCGTGTGGAGGCTTTTTGATGTAGGAGGTGATGCCTTTTCATCGAAATTTAAATAGGATAATGAAGGATGAGGTGGGAGGAGAATTTATTACGTAAACGTAAAATTAGATACAATTAGAATAATAACATACGTGAGGGTAATTTTTCTCATCTCCATGCCGCAAATATATCTGCGTTGTGATTTTAGAATATTCCGGTTGTTATGAGCAAAACATTATTATATTACAAGCAAAAAATAAATAAAAATAATTGAATGAAATACTAAAAGCATGTAAAAAAGGAAAATAACTTTAAAAATGTATTCCTTACCAGGGCCATTATAGTTATTATATTGTGCTGCAAAGAAACAATTTTGTGTGTTATTTAAAGGCAACCAAGCATTAGTTACAAATATATTTATTTTTAAAACAACATTTTTTAACTCACAAAAAATGATACAAATTTAATGATTGCTTAAATCATTTAAAAATAATATTCTAAACTCAAATTGAAATGATTTACACTCACAGATGATAGATTTTAATGAATGTAATTGAGTCACTGAATTACTGCGGTAATAAAGAACGATTTACGTTTCTACTGCATGTTTTGAAAATCAAGGCGTAATTTTTGTTACTATTTTAATTATTTCTGAAGACATTTGGGAGCCCTTTGATCATGTACAGTAATTTATTACTATCCCTGTCCCAAATTTGTTGCAACTTTTGAATACTTTTGTACTGATTATTAATTCTGATGATTTTATGATTTTACTTGAATATTTTTCTGAAATTTCAGGATGCTATGCAATCGATCAACAGGATTTACTTACCAAGCATTGAATCCTTAACTCAGTACCAAATTAGGTTCAAACCTCCAGGGCTCGTTCGCTCTTTAGCCACGCCCATTTTGTTAAAACTATTCCATCAGTAATTGTACAAAACTATGAATCGGAATTCACTAGTAGTAGAGTTTTATTGGTGTCTATTGCATCAAGAAATTATTCATGACTCCATCTACTTAAAATGCAGCAAATAATTTGAGGCAAAATTACCGACCTAAATGTAGCAACGAATTTGTAGCGGAGGGAGTAATAATTTCTTATAATCAGTGCATTTTAAAATAATTCAACATTATTAATACCTTACTCACTTGTTAAAATTAAAATTTAGTTGTGGATTTTAAGAAAGGGAGGATTAGCTATGCTTGTATTTTTTTCCATTAAGTTTAATAGAGTTACACATACTTGTAAAACATATATTTAATGTGTATATAAATATTATACTGCAGAAAAACATAATATGATTGGGTTCCGTAAGGCAATTTTAACAACTCTAAAACTGCCATAATTTTAAAAAAAGCTTAGAAGCTATTTCGTGTTTCGAATTAAAACAAACTGACCGTTTATTTTCAATTAAGTTTTATTTTATTTAATCAATTTAGTTTATAGATCGATAAGTTTCAAAGATAAAGTTAATGTATTATTTTTCTTTTACTTTAAAACAAGCTGAGACTACGAATTTTAAAAAAATTAAGCTCTGATTCATTTCAGATTAACTAAATTATTTACTTATCCGGTTTATATATCTCCAGAGTATGTAAATATTTACTTATCTTATGTCTCACCTTGCATTTATTTAAATTGCAGTAAAAAGTGCTTAATTTTACACAGAAACCCAGTTTTTATTCTTGCAGAATTAAATAATATTATATTGTTATCCATCAAAAAGATAAAATTAGAACAAGAGTGTGTAATATAAACCATTCGAGGTTTTTTAGTAATTTTATTGTTTTCAGTGATATATTTTATTCTTGAATTGATTTCCTTGTTTTTCATGATATAATTTATTACTTTATTCTTGATTGCTTTTATCATTCAAATGATTGCAAATCATTCAGATGATTTAAAAAATTTTTAAGTTCGCAGTTTATAAGTATATTTTAATTTTTTTTTTTTAATTCTCTGACAGAGCAGTGAAATTCTGACACCTAAATACGAAATTTTTCATTTATTTTCACTATAACATATTATCGTAATTTAAAATTTAAGCTTATTTTTTATTACCACTTTTCACTTATATTATTTTCATGTATCGATTACATTTAACGTTACTTAATAAGCTACTTCCCGTGATATGAATTGAAAAAAAAATCCTGAAAGAAAAGCTCTGTAAATTACATGAAAAGCTGCTAAGCTAGCTTTTCCTTATTATATATTTTTGGTATATCTTAAAAAAGGCAAAAATTTATTAAAAGTCTAAACTTAAAAGCTAAGTATCTGAAAACTAAATAGGTTAAGCCAAGTTATATGAAATTACTTAATATTACGGATTTCTAAAATGTTTTTAGTAAAATTTCTTTAAGTATTTTAAATAAGTAAAAATATATTTATGAAAATGATTTATTTTCCTGGATATTTTTTCAAAGGATCATCAATCATTCATCAGATTTGCATGCATACTTTAATAAATAAAGGATGGAGAAATTTATTTAGCTTTGAATGAATTCAATATTTTTTCAAAATATAAAATTCTAATTTGATAATTGTCTATCTTACCTTCTGAGCATGCTGTGAGAACAGCGACAACAAAGACCATGAGACAAATTTTCATAAAGGTGTTCATTTTTATTATATAGTTTAAATGCCTTAAATAGCAGTTAGTTTGACAAGATGAGTTAAATTTTAAATCTGCCTTCTGCGCGATATCTTTTATACCAATCTGCTTTCAAAGAAACAAAAATTACCTCTTTGCAAATTTAAAATTTCCAAATCATTAATTGGTTTTCGTGAAGTTAATTTTATTTACAGTAAAACACATGCCAATTGCGTCAATTGAATTTGATTCGTTTAAAAATGCCTTCAATGCTGTTTAAACCTATAAAAATCATATCGCAAATATTTTAATCCGAAACAGTGTCGAAGAGATTAAAAATTTTGCAATATATTTTAAGTTCTCTCTTATTTTCCTTTAAAGAGAAGCTGCAAAAATAAATTTTACAACCCTGGCGTAGGAATATATTACGTGTAAATATCTGATTGGTTTAATTTCAGTTGCAAAATATATTTAAAGCGAATATCAAATGAAATATTTCAATAGAGCGTTCCCCTTCCAATGAGGTGAACTGGGTTCGAATCCCAGCAAAGGCTGGTCGATACAAATCCACATCCGGATTAAACCAACCACATTGCTGACTTGAAATATCTTCAGTGGTAGACGTATCGTGCAACTAAGGCAAATTTCTATCAATACTGGATGAAAGAGTTGCCTTGTCTTCTGGATTGGGCTCCAAATTACAAGGCTACGGAGTTGATCATTAGTAGTCGTAAATTCCAAATTTGATCAGCTGATCAACGACAGTTGTAAAATAAAATAAAAACTCTACTAAGAGCCGCAATGGCTCAGGGAATAGATCGTCCGCCCTCCAATGAGGTGAACTGGGTTCGAGTACCAGTGGTGGCTGGTAGATCCAAATTCCGCACCTGGCTCGCACTGACCACAGTTTTGACGTAAAATATCCTCTGTGGTAGACGTTCCCTTGCCGTCAAGCTAACCACGGGAGCTTTCCGTATTTTTCCTCTCCATGTAACGCTAATGTGAATTAGTTCCATCAAAAATTCCCCCACGAGAGCAAATTCCTGACATTACTTGGTCCAGGAGTTCCCTTGTCTTCTGGATCGGGATAAAATTTACAAGGCTGCGTAGTTGGTAGTCGAAAACGCAAACCCAAAATTGAGTCGGCTGAATAACCAGGGTTTTATTTATATATATATATA